CCCTATTTTTATAGATACACAAGTAAAAGGGCTCCATTGCAAGTTGCAAAGCATTAAAGGTTGAAGACTTACTGTATGCCCTTTTGTATTATTATATTTCAGAACAATCTTGTATTATGCATTCACAATCCGATGTCCACAGATACAGGTAAAATTTATCACCTTTCAATACTATTTGATAGGGAAAGGTGATAAATTTACCTGTACCTGTGGACATTGGATTGTGAATAAGATATAGCTATTGAAACATTCGTATCGGTATCGAATTTTTAGTCAAATTTCAATTTGATAAACCTTGGTTATATTCTTAGTCTGTGTATAAAGTTGCTATGAAGTGTCGGTCCACAGCAATGATACTGTTGCAATTTGCAATCTAATAGGTTGGAGCTCTGATGACATGTCTACAGGCTTGATATATCAACAGTAGAATTAACAAAACTAGACACACAAAAATTGGAAATACTTGTATTTATTTAGGTATTTACTCGGGTATTTAATCAAAAATATAATATACAAATTCAGTTATAAGTCTCTCAAAACAAGATAAATTAATACAGAAGAGATCAGCGTCTCCATATTTGAGTTTACATATTCTGGACATAGGACTATCTAACTCAGAATTAGTTGATAGTCCATTGCAAATAAGTAAGTCATGCTGATGAGTTAATCTCTGGGGTACTTTAACATTAAACATAACTCAACAATTCATGGCTGTCAATTATGCCATCTACAATCTTAAACAAAAATAGCACATCAAAATGAAACCTTCTAACTTCCAAATGTGGTTGCTCTAACATTCTGTGCTCTAACCCTCGATATAATTGTTTTTGATCAATATCACCTAGCTCTAAATGTCATCAAAAAAGGTCTCTGTACCTTCTCCAAAGATCCTATATAGAAATTATATAGATACTAGACTCCAGCACTGATCTTACATAACTACATTTACAGCGTTCTAAAGCACATAATCATGAAAATCAGTAATTACCTGTCTGATCCACATATTCAAACAGTATGATAATAGTAGCAATGCACCCTGGAGCTACAGTTGTGGGTCAAAAATGGACTAGTACCACCAAGAATACAACAAAACCACAAGAGGATTTTTGAATTTGTATGAAAATTAACCTGTTATTTGGTTCACAAATACAGTTTTTCTTTTTGGTGCTTGATGGAACATGGAACAAGTCTATTATTGCATAGAGACGCTGCAATCTACTGCTCAACAAAACTATGAATCGCTTATTAATGCATTAGAGCCTCATTCTGGGGATCAACACTGCAGGCAGCTTTACCAGGTACAGCTAAAAAAGGACATCAGAAAGCTGTGGAAAGTTTATAGAAATTTGTTGGGATGATGAAGATGATTACTAGTCTGAGGATGCATATAGATTTAGAAAACATTATTTTTAAAGACATGGTTCTAAGGATTCTCAATGGAAAATTTGGTAGTAGAAAAGAAGGCAAGTTGAAGTGTTATCATGAGAATAATTGGTCAGATTAGATTTGCTTTGAGAGGGAGGAAGTGTTGGTGCCTAGAATTTGGTGCCACTGCTAACAGCCGGAGCGCGAATATTCAGAAATTCCATGGTGTAATTTGAATAGGTAAACAAGGTTTTATGTGATTCTAGAGATTTCTCGATTAAATGGGTTTGTAAAGCGGTCAGTCAGTCAGTTTGAAGTGAATTCTTGTAGGTATAAAGTTAAGTAAAAGCCATAAGTGATGTGCGACTTTAGTAAAGTTAAATAGTTCAATTAGAATTGTTCTTATTAAAAAGAGTCGAGCGCGGCATCCGTGACAATATGTACATACATGGACAGTCAATATTTTCAAATGTCAGCTCTAGAACCACTAACTATAGGGATACATTTCCTTTGTGGCGCAAAAATCTTGTGGAGATTACAAGAATGACCCCAACACAAAGAAGCATATGACAGGTTTGAATTGAAATTTCCTTGAAATGCCGCTATATGTATAGGACAGTTTGCGAAAAGGTGATCTTGGTGAGATTCCTAAGTAGAATACGTATTGGGGCAATTCCTGGGATAGAGGAACTATGTCCTACTCCCAAGTCAAAACAGGATCCAGATACACTTCCAAGGTCAGGCAGTAGTCAAGATTGACAGCCCAGCAACGATACATTTATGTGCCTACGATTTTTAATTTTTTTTGACAAACGAAAAATGGCATCGTAAAGTTATCCAAGACAACATCCAAGGCCTCATCTGCACAATTATTATCAAGATAAGAGTGTTTGTATTGCTTTTTTCTTGATGTGAAGTTCATAACTTGGGAACTAAGGAAATGTCAAATATTATATAACACCCTACATTTACCTATTTTGATGTAGTTTTTCAAATTTTGTCGGCTTCTCGGTGGATTTTATGAAATTGGTTAGTATAAATTCCAAAACGTCAGCAAATTTATCATTTATATCCTTATTCTACATTCCAGAACTTCGGATCCTACATTCCAAAACTTTGGCAAAGTATCATTTATAGCCTCATCCTAAAAAAACCCATTTCAAACTTAAAATTATGGGGACCCTAAAAGTTAAAAATGGTTCTGGATTTGATATCCTATAGGATTGTAAATGTTATATTACATGTACCTAAGCCGCCAAAAATTTCCTATATTATATTTCACCATTTCCTTTTGGCTTTAAGGTAGGTACCTACCTAAAACTGCAAAAAAAGTGCACTCAATAAAACGGAGACAATAATTATTGACCTTTTGGCGCCCATCTGACAAAACAAACAAGACTCCTCTTGGGTGTTTTATTACAGCAATAATTCAATCAAATAATACGCTAGACTTGATAAGGCTAATCAGCAGAAGTTGAAAACCCAACTTGTACCGCCTGGTACCACTCGCTTATTTCCTTTGCTTCAATTTAAAATAAAAAAGAACATTTATGTTTTTATGTGTACCAGAGCTTAAAATAGAACCCAATGACCCGTAAATAGGCCCTCGCTATTTCCTATATTTTATTGATATACATTATAGGCCATAAAGTTTTATTAGCTTTTCAAAATGCCATTGATTTATTTAAACCTGGATAATAGGAGCAATATTTAGTTGGGAGAGACTGAGGCTGTTTGGACAGAAAATAATTCATGAGATTGTCAAAAATAAACATGCAGACTTAATAAATTGTAAAAATATCGGCAGGGACTGGTACATGATAGGTACAAATCACTTTTATTTTTTAAACTAGGATGAATTCAACTTGAACTTGAACATAAGCAATCAAAAATTATTTCTTACTATTTTAGAGGAATCTAATTTGTGATTTCTGTATTAATTCTTTATAGAGACCTACAACAGGCTAATAATTACAAAAGTATCAAACATCACATCACAAATTATTATTTTTTCAAAGAAACTAATGTCAAAGGACCCTGCCCAAAGTATACGGAGATTGTGTTTATGTCAGAATTGGCTGAATTTTTTATATAATGTAGATTATGCCTTCCTGATTAAAAGTTACCATTACACCAATCCTGAAAACTGATTCCTTTTTGAGGAAATTAATTTCATAGGTAGCAAGTAAAACATTTGGACATTGTAATGAACGTACATACAAATAACTGGATTATTGTGGAACTTATGGGTGGACCTCTCTCCATCTACTCACCAATATACTGTTGAACTGTTCAAATAAGACACTCATGTGTAGTTTTTGAACTAATGAGAAAAATTCACAACTGACTGAATCAGGTTGTACTTGAACACCATATTGGTGAATAGATGGCTGGGTCCACCCATAAGTTCCGCAACAATATACTCGTTTGTACTTGAATAACTTGTCATAATATATTACTAGTTTGGTAAAGTAATATTACTAATTCCTGTTAAAAAACAAATTGACAAAAAGTGGATAATCTTACAAATTCTGACTTTATATAATAAGTTATTGTTCAAGTACAAATAAGTGAATTGTTGCGGAACTTATGGGTGGACCTCTGCGGGACGAGCGCAGCGAGCTCCGCAGCCATCTAATCACCAACATACTGTCAAACTGTTCAAGTAAGACATTCACCTGAAACGTGTAATTTTTAAACTAATAAGAATAACGCACATTTGAGTAAGTCAGTTTAGCATCGTAATTAAACAACATATTGATGAATAGATGGAGAGGTCCACCCATAAGTTCCGCAACAATTCACTCATTTGTACTTGAATAACTTGTCACAATATATTACTAGTTTGGTGAAGTAACATTACTAATTCCTCTTGAAAGGCAAATTGACAAAAAGTGAATAATCATAATCTTACAAATTATGACTTTATATAATAAGTTTTTGTTCAAGTACAAATAAGTGGATTATTGCGGAACTTATGGGTGGGCGCCATCTACTCACCAATATACTGTTGAACTATTCAAATAAGACACTCACCTGATTCTTGTAGTTTTTGAATTAATGAGAATAACTCACATTTGAGTGAGTCAGGTTAGTATCGTACTTGAACAACGTAGGTATTAATGAATAGATGACTTTAACAATTAAACAACATATCGATGAATAGATGGCTGCGGGACTCGCTGCGCTCGTCCCGCAGAGGTCCACCCATAAATTCCGCAACAATCCACTCGTTTTTACTTAAATAACTTGTCACATTATGTTACTAGTTTGGTAAAGTAACATTACTAATTCCTGTTAAAAGGCCAATTGACAATAAGTGGATAATCTTACAAATTCTGACTTTATATAATAAGTTATTGTTCAAGTACATACAATGTAACACAAATAGGTAAGCTTGTGGCGTAGTGATGTGCTATACGTATATTATTTTTTCAGAATTGGTGCAATGGTAACTTTTAATCAGAAAGGTGTGATCTACATTACATACAAAATTCAGCCAATTCTGACATAAACACAATTTCCGTATACTTTGGGCAGGGTCCTTTAATAAGGATTCATATTGGCTCAGTAAAATGTGAGAAATAGGTAGGACCAAAATGCTCATATGCTTTTTTGATGTTGATGTTACTAATCGTGTTTATTTCTCATTATTTTTGGATAAACCCTGTTGCTCTATTGCTCATGAATGTTTTCCATTTTTCTATGGGTTTCAATCTTGTTTTCCAATTTTGAATACCAATGAGCAAATAAATAACATGCATGTATCTACCTATCTATTCTTTCCTTACTTCATAGCCACCCATAGTTTTCAATTCGGAAAACCTACGAAACAATTTGATCATTCTTACAGTCATAATAGGGTACTATGGAATAATACATGTCTATGAATGTCGAATGTGACTAATCACGAGGCTCCAAACGATCTGAGAAACCTTTAAAGTTTCACGTGGTTATATAGTCATTTTTTAGGAACAATTAGTGCCATGCAGAAATTGTTTTATGAAGTTTCCATTTATATAAGTAGGTTCTTACCAAAAACAATTATCAAAAGGATTTTCTTCCATAGAAAAGTTATACCTCATTCAAGTTTGGGATATTCAGATAAATCTGATGACTTGAAAAAGAAAGATAGAAGGATTTTCAACTCGGTGAGTTATTTTGTTACAACGATGATAATATTGAAATGAATGAAAATTACTATATCAAACAGGTCATATTTCAAAAAGCGAGCTTGAAAACTTGAGTACGACGTTTTCCGTTAGGTTCATGGCGCTAGAATGACCATTCGAAGCACGCATTTGCACCATCCGCTAAATTATGCAGAGCAAATACCTAAAAGTTTTAATGCATGTCTCATAAATTTTGATCACTGAATAAAGTTTTTATAAACTGATGCTCTCATCAACTTCCATAAGAGATTGTGTAATTTACACTTACCTAGACAAGTTTTTCCATTTTTTTTTTTTTTTTCAAAAAGTAAGCTCATTTTTACATGAATAAGCTTAACTACATTTTATTGCAGCTGTCATCATAGGACTACATAGTTGAACCATATCCTCTTAAAATTATAAATATTATAACAACGTTTATTAATAGTTCATAGGGCCGCCAAGTTGGACCAAATCTATTATCGTTTACGTAAAATGTATAAACGCTAACCGCTAAACTCAAATCGCTCAGTAGTAGTGGGCGACCATGGACTGGTACACATTGCACGAGATAATATACTCGCTTCATTTCATTTTGTTTCGGTTCCGTTTCGGACGTTAACAGAATAGAATCTCGGTTTATTCGAAAAGTAAATATTTTCGCCGGTCGCAACGCCCTGTATAGGACGTCAATCGATCGTCTGAGGGTAGTTGTTGAGGCAGATGAACCCTAGGGAGCGTTTCCCATGATTCAGTTCTTCCCTCCGCTTCGAAACAGACCCTTTTTTTAACATTGATTTTTAGTGGTTTTCAGTGATTTTCTGTTGTGTTTTCTATTTTTTTGAATTAAACTCTACAGTGTTTTGTGTCGAATTGTTCGCTTCAATAATATTGAAAAAGTTATGTTGCTGCCTACAAAAAATTCTACAAATTGCCCCATAGGATTCCAAAACGATTTCTATCATGAAGTGGTAGGGAAAACAAAATTTTTAACATTGAAATGTACAGGGAAGCAAACAAACAGCAGCCGCGCAAGAAGTAAAAGTGTGGATAGAACTAAATTCCGGTTTTGTGCCTGTACTGGACCAAGGAAAAATAATAAAAAGAGCGCCAAGTGGTATGTGAAGGTAAGAATCTAAAATTTCTTTGATTTTCTTTTGAGAACAAGCAGCGAGTTTTTCAACTTCAAAGAAAAATAAACTTACATTTAACTTAATATAAACAGGTTTTTGAGATTAAGTAATAAAAATAATCAAATGAAAAGACAGATGGCTTTAATCACTTAACATTGAACAAGAAAAATTTTGTTTCAAAAATAAACAAAGGTCAGACTGATAAAAAAAAGTATTTATTAGAAAAGACACCTATAAAATGTCTTGTACAACCACATAACCAAGGGTAATAAATATTTACCAATTAGTTAGATGTTGTCAGAAATTATTAATGTTACATAGCGATGTTCGATAACATTTTAAATACAAAGAATTTCTGGTACTTTACTTACGCCAAAATAATATCCATCAGTTATTTATAGTAAGGCTTGTGCAAGAGAATTCCTGCATGTTAAAACGATGAATTAAATATGCAAATGTTAAGTTTGGAGCCAGAAAGAGGTGTGTAAATATGAATGTAATGAATTTTTTTAGTGTTTTGTGGCATAAGAATGCAAAAAGTGTATATTTTATACCCATAAATTGTGTTTGATATTAAATAATAATCAATAATTAATATCGTATGTTTTTTTAAGCAAATTGATTAATTAATTTTTATGCATAAATTTAAATTGCGTCATTAAACCAGTAGTGTTGAATTTCATATAATAATATTACATTTTGTAATTTTACTTCAAATATGTTCCACAATTCAATTGATAAATCGTGCTTTTAATGCTTGTGACTCAAAATCAATTTCAATTGAATTTGTGCCTCATACCAACATTCCCATAATAAAATCAATAACTCTATGCATTTTTCCTTGTTACTGATTATAAGTAGGTACGTGGGCTGGAACTAGGCTAAAGAAATGACATTTCAAACAATAGCTCTTCACACACAGTCCCAGTTTCAATTAAATAATAACACCAAAGAATTATCTCATTGTGAACAAATAATAGTTTGAACAATTAAGTTTATTCGATTATACCTCACTGTCAATTGATTCTATTCCATGTCTTCAAAGGCAATTCATTGTTTGAAATCTTTAGAGCATGCAAGAAAAACTCTTGAGGGGTCTAGCTAACACAGCCAATTTAAAAGTCTGAAGAGCTCTCTGAAGGCCAACCAGTCTATGATTAAAAAATCGTTTTACGGTTGTTAAACCCTTTTGGATCTTGAACTGACCTAATTGACCAGAGCAACAAATTCTATTGTTACGAGGAAAAATATAAGTCTGCGTCATATACATGGGAATTGCTCTGGTTTGCTTTCTTGATTTGTACATACACGCAAATGTTGACTTATATTTTGCACCTGGAAGAATATTAGTCACGAGTTTATTATACTAATAGACTTGCTAATTTATTTTGGTCATTATCTTTTAATCTGTGTATGGGGTGAATGGATGCTGAAGAGTACCTTTTTAAATTTAATTTACTGAAAGAAATAACAAATAGGCTTTGCAAAAGAATAGAAAAGAGACTGCATATATTTTGATGTAACATTCTAGTAAGTTTTAATTTGAATGAAATTGGTGCCAAGCCCTTTTGAAAGTCATAGTTTGTGAAACAGCAAATTAACCTTCTTTCAAATTAAAAAATGATTGGTTCATTGGTTGGGTTAATTTGAGTTGGTTGTCTCTCATTGGTTTTATTTTTATTTTTTCACATTTGTTTGTTGAGCTTCATCCAAATGTAATTTTGTATAACAATATCGACTGTTGAAATATGGGTGCTTTTTTTGAAACAAGCGCATTCGGTTAAAAATACTTTATACAAGAAAATTTAAAGTGTATGAAGACAAAGACCAGAGACATGATTATAAACAAGCAAAGAACGGGAAAATTGTAAAAAGTTTCCGCCATTATCAAAATCTATTGAAATATGGCATCTCTTTGTATGGTTCTAAGTTTCAAGTATAATCCATTTGATAATAGTATGTAAGAATTACATTTTTGGTGCTTATTTAATATTCTGTAAATACATAAGCATACATTGCTCAATTTCTAGTAAGACATTAATTTTACACATATTTAATTCCCTATACAGGGTGGTCCTTCGGGAATGACATCGATTGCTTATGGGAAAACTGTGAAAGGTAAAAATTTGAAAATTTGGCAACATAGCAATGTCGATGGGGGACATCTAGGTAAAATATTTTCAAGATGGCGGCATTTCCGGTCATACCGGAAGTTGATACCAACTCGGTTATTTTAAATAGAACACCCCATATATTAATGTATTTTTGGATTCTACATAAAATTCTGAGCAGATTTCATGTAATATACCCTATACCTAAGTTCAACTGTTTTGGAAATATTGACAGTTGAAAATTGACTTTTTGCAACTTTGACAGGCTGTAAAACCTGAACAATTAATTTTAGAGGAAACCCGATTTGACATTCCTATCTTAGATTTTTATAAACTATCATTTGACATCAACTTTGAATTAAATCCATGATTAAAAATTTCAGTTAAATTTAATCTCCGTTTAAGTTCAAAGTTGGTGTCAAATGATAGTTTATCAAAATCTAAGATAGGAATGTGAAATCGGTTTTCCTCTAAAATTAACCAATTAGGTTTTACAGCTTGTCAAAGTTGCAAAAAGTCAATTTTCAACTGTCAATATTTCCAAAACAGTTGAACTTAGGTATAGGGTATATTACATGAAATCTGCTCAGAATTTTATGTAGAATCCAAAAATACATTAATATATGGGGTGTTCTATTTAAAATAACCGAGTTGGTATCAACTTCCGGTATGACCGGAAATGCCGCCATCTTGAAAATATTTTACCTGGATGTCCCCCATCGACATTGCTATGTTGCCAAATTTTCAAATTTTTACCTTTCACAGTTTTCCCATAAGCAATCGATGTCATTCCCGGAGGACCACCCGGTATAGCGTTTCCGTTTTGGTAATTCCATCATAACTATACTGACTACATGTACCCCATATGGGTAGCAAGTACCTAAGTACCTAAAATGGGATAGAAAGAAGACATTGTATACCATAGATTTGGACTTCTGCGTTAAATAATTTCTACATTCATACATTGCAGCAATCATAGGAATAATCTTATCAATCACAAAGAATATTGATCAGTCCAATTCAGTTTATCATCAACAACTAGTCCTAAATATTTTATTTTAGCAACTTGCTCTAATCGTGCGTTGGTAATTTGAATATTGATATTTTCAACATGTTTGTTTTTTTGTTTAAAAACCATTTAGTGTTGTGAAGATTAATTTTTAGTTTGCTAGAATATAGCCAGTTCATGTATGTTTTAAGGTTGTTCAGCACTGTCCCAATATAGTTTTGCACATTTCAAATTAAGGACATAAAGGGTGTAGAGCAGCGGTCTAAGAACACCAAAGTTATCTTTTTTAACTCACTTTCAGTATTGTTTACCCTGACATACTGCTTTCTATCCTTTAGAAAACTTCTAATTAGACTGATCATAGTTCCTGTAATTTCAATAGACTCCAGGTTAGTTAGAAGCCTATCTGGATCAACCACATCAAACGCCTTTGTTAAATCTACATATATTACAGTCACTATCTTATTAGAATCCAGTGATTTAGAAAGATAATAATTGATATAGTCAGCTGTAGCACACAAAGTACTACTATTCTCTTGGAAACCATACTGGTACTCATCCAAAGATACTTGCTTATGCACAGGAGATAAAATTGTTTTTTTTTTTATTAGCTTTTCAATAATTTTTGAAAACACACTTAGTACAGATATCGGCCGGTAGTTACTCTTAGCTTTTTTGTTTCCTGTTTTACATATAGGAGTGATTTTGCTGATTTTTAAGCTCTAGAAAACACACACAAAAAATTGTCTGGCAAAGTTGAAGAGCATTCAGCTATTCAATAAAGCTCTTTTAGGCTGAATTCACTTGAAACCACGTTGTGCAGCTGACATCCAACAGCAAATCATAATTCAACCATTTCTCGCCGGTATTCGGTAGTGCCCCACTGCTACACTTACCTTTAATAGTATAATCGTGTAACAAATGAGATCCTAACCTATTATGGTGGACGGCTTCCCCGGGGGACACCAATTACCAAAAAGAAATAATCAAACCATGATTTGTTGCCCTGGATATCAGTGAAACGCAACTTCAATTATTGTTAAGAGGAAGTTATTGAAAACATTTACAGCCAAATGCCTTAAAGTTTAATACCAAACATGCTCAACTAGAAGTAAGTAGCTTACCAAAATTCCGATTTGAAGGGCAGTTATGATCATAGCCTAGTTATTATTATTTTTTTAATAGCTTATTCCTCTATGATAGTCTACTGCCGAATGACGAATATAAAAATAGATAAGAAAAGAAAGGTACAATAGCTTGTTTACATTACCTTGGTCCCTTTTTTCTTACCTCAGTGATGACTCATCAATTAGGTATAATAATATTGAGATAAACAAATCCTTCCATTTTTACTTGCTGAAATGCACAAAACACCAATTTTAGATTGTTTCGAAAATGTGATGAAAACCCTTTTGAGAATGATCATTATTCGAGTGGCAGAAATGGCCAAAACAATTATCATTTTTTTATGTAGGTACCCACTGTATACTTATTATGCGTCAAATAATATGTACTGGTATTACGGTATTACTATGTAGATATGTAATTTTTCAATCAATCCACACTGACCAAATTTCAACGTCGTCAAATAGACGTCTTAATACAGGTTTTTTTTTCTGAATGGGTCATATTGAGTTTTACTTGGTAACTTTTGAACCTGTTGGTTCATGTCATGGTCAAATAAACGTTCTCTGGGTGACGTCCCAAACAAGTCATATTTTGCAACCTCTTTCCGACATCGAATTTTGGTTAATCGACGTATCTATTTAAAATCGACCAACGTTGCTGCTTGGGATGTTTGTTGTAATAGGAAAAAAAGACCTGCTGAAAAACATCCTCCAGCATTTTAAATGTTTGAATAGATTTAGATCAGA